AAGTCGAAAATAATCTTCGATCTATTTACGTTCAAGTTCAGAACAAAATTGGGAAATATTCTGTTCGGCTGAGAATATTTTTATTCCGAGTGCGTCTCTTATTCAACATTGAACTTCTTTTGTCAGAATTACGTAGCGGAAATTTATTAAAGGAGACAAAAAAAAAACAAACAAAAACATCAGAAAACATAATAGAAAAATAAGTTATACAATTTGAATTTTGTTATAAAAAGACTCATTTCTGTTAAGAATTATCCACCACAAACGTTTATATATATATTCATATATTTTTTGCCAATTTTAATCTTTATATCTGTTTTCATCATTTTCATGCAGAGAAACCTTATTTTTACATTTTTAACACTCTAACAGTCACAAAGAGCATATTTTGATTACAATGTCAAGAAATTTTATTGCCGTTGCACTTAGTGTTAAAGGAGATTTTTTTTCAATATTTCAGCTACTTTTGGAAACCCTGTAACTCTGTTTATTTTTCAAGCTAGAAAGGTTTGTTTTAGGGTGGTACTTAATATGGACATTTCGAATATCTTTGCTTTCAATGGCTCAAATGCTTCCAAATTAATAAAAAACAATTCTCTAAAAGTTTTAGCTCTTAATATTAACATTTAGATAGTCCGCAAATCAATCAGAAGTTTTGTATATTTATTATTAATATATATCACTAAGTCAATTCTTATGACACTTAAAACATGTATAAATCACTTAACCTCTAATTAATTCCATGTGGAAATGGAATCCAATCTGGTGTAACGAAATATTTATTTATCATGGCATCAAGATTAATTTTGCATCAAAATATTTATTGAATTGGTGATTTTGACGCTCAAATTATCAGTAATAAATTGCCATCAAAATTACAAGTCTGCTATCACAGATGGCGCAAGAATTTACTTAATAATAAATCTACGAAACTTTTAATTGAATTGCGGACTATCTAAATGTTGATATTAAGAGCTAAAACTTTTAGAGTTTTTTTTTAATTAATTTGGAAGCATTTGAGAATTTGGGAGCAGAGAAATTCGAAAATGTCCATATTAAGGACCACCCTAATATATATATATATATATATATATATATATATATAAAGTCTTATTTGCAATTCATAAAATATAAATTCTTATCACATAAAAAATACGATTGTGCGTCCGCCAATATCGTTTTGACCATTCAGAAAAACGACTTAATCTAAAAATTAAGTACTCAGCTTTTTATCTTATCCACTTTATATATATATATATATATATATATATATATATATATATATATATATATATATATATATAATGGGAAAAGGTCATGGAAAGCCTCTGGCAAGATTAGATTTTCTAGTGTGACATTTTCGCATAACAATCTCTACATTTTATATTCTTTTTCTTATGAACGACCACACACATATATAGAGTCTGTCATCTAAGTTTTTTTTTTAACTTTTTAATTCTGTAAGCTACTGGATGGTCAACCAAAGTATTTGTTTGAATTAAATCCGCATAGATAAATAAACATTTTAAAGTTACATCGTAGTACAAATCTTGATTTAATGAAAAATGTCTGAATCAGAAGAATATTTTGCCCTGTTCCTTGAAAATAACAAAACAAATTAAACATTTGTGCCGTGTACTGAACGTAAGTTTATTGGTTAGAAATTATTTTTATATTATTCGTAGTTTCTATAAATCTTTGAAGTTATTGAAATGGAAAATATTGTTTAGTCAAGACAGATATTACAGCTGTTCAAAAAATGAGAAAATATCGCCAGCGAAAAAGTAAAAAAAATTACAAGCAGTCAATGAATGTATGTTAATTTTAATTACATGAAGTTCTTCAAACACAATTATTACATGATGAGTGAAGTTGCAAAAACAAAATTTGTTCAGCCGTTGTTTAACATATTCCACTGTGCGAACGAATGTTATAGAATTTATTAATAAGCAAAAACTTCATTTCTCTAATGAAGGTTCAAGTCCTAAATGCTAATTACAACGACAAACCGATCATGTCATATTTGAAGTATGACTTTAATTACATTATTGTTTCTAAATATCATACATATTTTTAGGGACCGATTCTGCCGCAATGTTATGATAAGGTCATGTTATGAAGAATTTTCCATAGTAATATAGACAAAAGTTATGCGGTTGGTGTTCAGTCAGGCGAATTTCTCAGGTTTTTTGATGCAAAACATAACCTAAAAACCGCACAAATGTCAAAAAAACGATGTTAGATAAGTGTGTGTTTCTGATTCCTCTTAGATAACATACGAGTGACGTTGCAGTTTATGCTTAAAACGCCGGAATGAACAGCAAATACATGATATTTTGACAGCATTCAGTATGATTCATTCGCATAATGTATGGGAGTCGGAGCGTAACATAGCTATGCCGTAACATTTCTCTGTTATGCGCAGAATCGGTCCATTAATGCTATTATAAATATATAATTTATAATTTATCATTATATAAATGTGTATAATGGTTGACGACATTTATAAATGTGTGCACCTCGAGTGTTACCATATTACTGATGAGCATTATTTAAAATTGTTATATGATGTATTTATTATTAACTTAAATGTCATCTCGTACGATAGCAAAATAGTTTTACTTCGATCGCGTGTGAACCTTACGCGCACTCTTTTTTTAATCGTACAGTATTGATATCCACTGCATCAAAAATATAATTACAATTGACTTTTGTCAATTTTGGACCTTGTTAAATTCCTGTCATTATTCAAAATTAGAGTTTATCTCTACATCTCTTGGACATTGAGAAATCTCTGTCTTGATTCGAATAGGAGTTTGACTTGCCTCCAAGCGGATATCTCATAATTTGTAAGAAACGACTTCATGGCTGAATTTTATTTCCTTCTTGTCACAAAGAAAAGCACTCCGGGGGCTTTCAGGATTATAATAGAAAGGGCCATCTACGAGATGGTACTTAGGGCTCAAGTAGGAGGTCAATGGACGATTTATTCCCTTTGTCAGGATTAATGTGGAAAATCTCTTAGCCAGCAGTATATGGATGTAATGAACTGATCAAATTAAAATTAACATTTTGTGTGGCCTGTTGCTAAGTCGCAAATATAAAAAAATAATATTTATCTTATATATGAACTAATTTTTAGGTATAATTTTAAGGCAAAGTTTGTATCAGGTCAAGCTTTTTTTTTCCTCGGTGATTTTTGACCTTTCGTTGAACTTTTCTAAAAAATGACTGAACCGATGAAAAAAATTTAAAATCTATTTTATAGACTAGAACTAGCGTTTATCAGTTTTGTGCGACGATCAGCCGAGCTGTTTCTTGGAAAATAGCACAAAAGTGTAAAATTTTTGGTCCACGTTTAGCCTACAATTCTTAATCGATTTTAAAAATTCTAAAACTGTTTGAAACTACGGCAATATATTGATTGTGTATTACGAGTATTTACATGTATCGGAACTTGTCTTGAGGAAAAATGTCATCCCAAATAGTAGCAAATTCAAATAAATCATAAATGCGTTTTTATTTCTTAACGTCTCGAAGGGGAAGAATTCAATTAATTTAATTTATACAATTACAGATATTAAGAGTATATTCTAGTGTAGGAATTCAATAAAAATCATTTTTTTCCCTTACTCCTAAAGTTTTACTTAAAAGAATATGCATACTCAGAATCGTCTTTTTCAATATGATTCTCAAGTTTTCTCGAGTTCCACTGAATCGATTCATTCGAAATTTTCAAAAAATCTTCTTCATATACTTCTCCCGAGCATATACTAGCGTCATCGCCAAATTTCCATTTTTACTATTTTTAAAAAAAAACGAAATAACTAAGAGATTTTTTTTTCAAACAGTCATTTTGTTAAAAAAAATTATATTTTTAGTTAATTTTAGTATATGCCATTGCAACTTAGTTCTAGATTAATAATTTCTTTATTTTTTCATTTGGGTCAAGTGTCAATTTTTTGAGTACCCTACTTCAACAACTGCTAATTTTTTTTTTTTTTAACTTGTTAATACTTGTTAACTTTTGAAACTAGTTAATAGTAGCATGTTGCCGTAAAACATGTTGCATGAACTTCCCGATAGGTGTAATAATTGACTTAATCAATCGAAATTGAGAATTAGATATTTAGATAAGATTTTCACGATTACGTAAATCATATACATAGTTCTATATATTATTTCATGATTTTAATAAATGGTAACATTTTTTAGTATGCTGTTCGTTCACTTTTTTGCTAATACCAAATTTTAATTGACTTGATTGAATTAACACATTTTGACTATCAAATATTTTTTTTACACTTTGATAAATTTTTAAAACTAAACTACTTGTCGTAGGGCCGTAATATATAAGTATGATCTAGAAGACCATGATATTTATCACAAAAAGAAATCAATGAAAACGTCGAAAAAATTTTTTAACACTTTATTACAAGAAAATGGTACGGCCAATTTCTATCAAAAACTAATCAGCACGATTTCCAACCAATATCTTTCGAACGATTTTTGAAATTTCCAAATTGATTCAGAATTGCGGGCTAAAACGTAGACGAAAATTTTTTCACCTTTATGCGATTTACAAAGAAACGGCTCAGCAGATCTTTGCACAAAACTGAGAAACGATAATATTTATTTAGATGCATCGAATGGGTTTTAAAATTTTGAAATCGATCTAGCCGTTTTTGAGAAAACGCAGAAATAAGGTGGAAAATCTGTTCACACACATACCCATACTTTTTGGTCAAATTTGGTCTCATTCGATTTAGAATGACTTGAAACGTCAAGAAAACATAAAATTAACGAAACGATTTTTTATGAAAACATAAACTCCTCCTTCGGGGAGTTAAGAAATGGATAGTAAAAAATGTATTGCCTTTTTTACGATAAATTCAAAACGAATTAAAATTCATGCCTCAATTGTTTTTAAGTAAAAGCGAAAATGCTATATTCAAAATTACAGTTAAAAATTTACCTCAAGAATCTCGATTCTCAAGTTCATGCAACTTGCCCTTTGGCAAAATGACACAACTAGCTCACCCACAGTCACACTAGGTAGGTTACGCATGACACAACTAACAAACATCTCCTTTTCCATCATCCCTCTACCTAAAACCAACCATCTACCCACTTAACCTTCTTTTCTTCTTTCTCAGGAGCTCTGGCCTACGCAGAACTGGGCACCATGAACACATCGTCCGGGGCGGAATACGCCTATTTCCGTGACGCGTTCGGCCCCGCACCCGCCTTCCTATTCTCGTGGACGAGCACCCTGGTTTTGAAGCCGAGCCAGATGGCGATCATCTGCCTGTCTCTGGCGAGATACGCGGCCGAGGCGTTCGCCGGACAGTGCGAGCCGCCGCAGGGCGTCGTCAAGCTGGTCGCTTTACTGGCGATAGGTAATATCTTCTATATATATAAAAACTAGCTGTAAGTGGAATTCTGTCTTAAGGCAATTAGGGCATCGTGCCTTAAGGCAAATTGCTGAAACTTCCCGTACCAAAAATTATTATTTTTTTAAAAATGATTAACATTTTTGAAAAAAATTTACTTCGAAAAAATTAGATTTTTGAGAAACTATAAATTTGATAAAAAATTACTTTTTTTTGAAAAAAAAAAATTTATTCGAAAAAAAATTTTTTTTTGAGAAAAAATTTTTTTTGGAAACAAAATTTTTTTGAAAAAAAAATGTTTTTTTCATTTTGACATATTTTGGAAATTCTGAACTTTTTAACTTCCCGTAGGGTAAGTTATAGTAATCGCAAAAAAATCGAAAATGAAAATTTTTATATATCTTTACGTTTCAGAGGTTTCTTAACATTTTGGCATACCTTAGAAAAAATGGATGTATGTGTGTGTGAGTGTGTGAGTGTGTGTATGTGTGTGTGTGTGTGTGTGTATGTATGTATGTATGTACGTGTGTGTATGTATGTGCGGATACAAATTTTCGTCGACGATTTCGGGAACACAGATCAACCGATTTGAATAATTCAAAAAACATTCGATTCGTATTGATAAGGAGACTTGCTGATTAGTTTTTGGCGAAGGCAGGTCCAGCCGTTCCAAAGATACGGGGCAAAAAGTGCCGAAAACGGTAACTCAGTTTTTAAGAGAACGGAGCGTCCGATTTTAATAATTCAAAAAACATTTGACTTGTATTGACAAGATGAAGAATTGATCAAATTTTCATGAGGGCAGGTCTAACGGTTTCGGAGATCTAACGTAAAAAAGTAAAAAAAAATGCCATTTGGCGGTCAAAAATGATCATTAGACATATGCACATCAAATTATCAGATATTTTATAGAGATTTTAACAATAAGTATAAATTTTGTTTGCATTCCTATGGGTTCCGTACCAATATTTATTCGTTAGACGGCGACGCGGCGCTTACGCGCTTTGACATTTTGTCTCTATGCAGTTAAAGCAGTACGATTGCTTTGAAAAAAGATCTTCCAAAATATGCCAAAATAAAGTAATTTGTAAAAAAAGTAAAAAGTAAAAAAATAAAGTAATAGTAAAAAAAAGTAATTTTTTGTTTATTTATAGTTTCTCAAAAATCTTATTTTTTCGAAGTAAATTTGTTTTAAAAATGTCAATCGTTTTTAAAAAAATAATAATATTTGGTACGGGAAGTTCCAGCAATTTGCCTTAAGGCACGATGCCTTAATTGCCTTAAGACAGAATTCCACTTACAGCTAGTTTTCAAAGCAATCGCACTGCTTATACTGCATAGAGACGAAATGTCAAAGCTCGCAAGAGCCGCGCCGCCGTCTAACGCATAAGCATTGGTACAGAACCCATAGAAATGTAAAAAAAAAATATACTTATTGTTGAAATCTCTATAAAATATCTGATAATTTGATATGCACATGTCTAATAATCACTTCTGTCTGCCAAATGTTTCTTTTTCAATTTTTTTTATTGGATCATCGAAATCGCTAAACCTACCTCTCACAAATTTAAGCAGTTATTTATTCTATTAATATATGTAATTTTTTTTTGAATTATATTGAACGCTTCTTTTCTCAAAAACTGAATTATCATTGTTGGCATTTTGACCCGTATCTTGAAAACAGTTGTACCTGCTTTGGCCAATAACTAATTTGCACGTCTCCTTATCAATAGGAATTGAATCATTTAAATCGGTTAATCCGAGTTCTCGAAATTGACTTGAATAATTTAAAAAAATATTAAATTGAGTTTCGATATTTCTTTGAAACGGCTACGCAGCTCGATTGCGTTGCAAAAAGTTCATAATTTTTAAAAAATTTCAAAATATAAAAAATGTGATTTAAAAGTCATTTTTTTTCATTTTTCAAAAAAATTTAAAGCTCTTTATAAAATGTAATTTTCAGTACGTAAAGTTTCAGTAATTTGTCTCTTAAGGCACAATTCCATACGTGGAAGTGCACAAATTCGTCATTTTAAGAGGGCTCGAAAACTGAAGAACATATTTTTCTTAAACTTTCAGCTTGTTTACGGATCTTTCAAAATTAAAATGAAGAAAATTGGTCTAAAAATTAAAAAAAATATTGAGGGTAAACAGCCCTTGATGAAAATAAATAGTATTTTGAAGTAAAAAGAATTGTATGTGTTTTATCAATTCCTCATTAAAAAAATACACTGAAAAAATTGACCTTATAATTGAAAAAATGTGTAAGGGTTGGACAACCCTTAATTAAAGGAACTTGATTTTTAAAATAACATTTAACCATTTTCATATAATCAAAAAAGTTTAACTGAAATTATGTCAATTAAAGGTCTAATTAAAACTAAAAGAAAACTGATTCCAAAATTTTCAAAAAATTGTTAGGGGTGTGCAAACCTTGATAGAAATAAATAGTTTTTTGAAGAAAACAGAGTTGTATGTATTTTTCAATTCCTCATTAAAAAAATACACTGAAAAAATTTACCTTATAATTGAAAAAATGTGTAAGAGTTAGTCAACCCTTAATAAAAGTAAATTGTGTTTAAAGTAACGTAAAGTAAAAGTAAAGTTAACCGTGTTCATATAATCAAAAAAATCTTAACTAAAATTATGTCAAATAAATGCCAAATTAAAATTAAAAGAAAACTGAATCAGAAATTAAAAAAGATACAGGTGTACATCCCTTGATGGTAATAAATAGTTTTTTGAAGTGTGGAAGGAAGTATGTATTTTTCAATTTCAAATTATAGACAATTAAAATAAAGAAAATTGGTCTAAAAATTTAAAAAAATGTTAGGGCTGGGCAACCCTTAATAAAAATAAATTGTATTTTAAAGAAGAATTAAAACTTTTTCTTCAAGCTCAAAAATCTGAACTAAAATTTTGTCAAAAATATTCAATGACTGTACGCGGGATAAAAAATGATTGATTTACTAAAATGGCTATATAAACAGGGGTTGGTGATAAAAAAGTAAACAGTTTAGTTTGTATGTAATTTTTAATGCCAAGTTATACAAAAATAAAAACAAAAAAATCCGTCCCTTATACGCATATAAAATTTGATGAAAATTGGTAAAGCCGTTTTGGTGGAGTACTGGGATAAATATCGTGATACGAAAATTTTATATACAAGATATATAAATATTATGTTCATTTCATTTTTCATTTTCCAGTTCTGATATTGTTCGTCAACTGCTACAGTGTCAATTTGGCTACTTGTGTGCAGAATGTCTTTACGTCCGCAAAACTTTTGGCAATATTGATAATCATTTGTGGAGGAGCTTATAAGTTAGCCGATGGTAAGTTGATTTCATTTTAAATTTATCAAAATTACTATTCACAATTAAAAGTCTGTTTTTTTTCTGTTTTAGGTAATACACAGCATTTACGAGGAGCCTTCTCAGGCCCAATGCCCAGCATTGGCTCGATGGCCAATGCTTTCTACACAGGTCTTTGGGCCTACGATGGTTGGAATAATTTAAACTATGTTACTGAGGAAATCAAGAATCCGTCTAAGTAAGAATTTAATACTGGACTTAATTCATTGCATCACTAATATAGTATATAAAAGTGTCGACTATTGAGTAACTTTCATCAGAATCGTGTTATTCAATATTTTAAAAAAGTTTTCTCTGAAAGTCGCTGAATTTTTTTTAAGTCATTTGATGTAGTTTGGATACGGGCTCGCGTTTACTAATTTGCGTTTACATTTTTGTAGTTATTGTTAATCTAAATCTTAATGAAAATTTGTTTTTTTTTTTAAACGCTATTAAATTTGCTCATCAGTAGAGTCCTTTTCTTATTTTTCTAGTCGATTTTTATGTTGTTAGTCAATAGTCAATCCATTTTATCTTTCAGTTTGCTATTTGTCAGTAAAGGATCTTTTTTATAATTTAGTTTGCAATTTAAGTTTGCTCGTCAGTAGAGTCCTTTTTTAATCTTCTGAATCACAATTAAGTTTGCTCGTCAGTAGTCTCTTCTGTGTCTTCTAGATACATTTAAGTTTGCTTGTCAGTAGAGTCCTTTTTTAATCTTTTGAATCAAAATTAGGTTTGCTCGTCAGTAGAGTCCCTTCTTCGTCTTCTAAATCAAAGTTAAGTTTACTCGTCAGTATGGTCCCTTCTTTGTCTTCTAAATCAAAATTAAGTTTGCCCGTCAGCAAAGTCTTTTTTAATAACTTAAATTTAAATTTCAGTAGAGTCGCTTTTTAATATTTCAAATTTAAATTAAGTTTGCTCATATGTAGGGTACATTTTTTATTATTTTAAATTTAAATTAAGTTTGCTCGTCAGTAGAGTTCTTTCGCCAATTTTTTAAATCAGTAGAGTATTTATTTTTTTATTTATTTGTCTTTTAAACTTTTAAATCAAAATTATGTCTGCTTGTTAGTAGAGTCTTTTTACCAATATTTGAAATGAAATTTTAAGTTTGCTCGTCTACAGTGTTTTTTTTAATAACTTAAATTTAAATTTCAGTAGAGCCCCTTTTTAATATTTCAAATTTAAATTAAGTTTGCTCATCAGTAGAGTTCATTTTTTATTATTTTAAATTTAAATTAAGTTTGCTCGTCAGTAGAGTCCCTTGTTGAAGTCTCAAATCAATGCTCGTCAGTAGAGTGCATTTTTATATTTTTATCTTTTCTTATCTCCTAAATTAAAATGAAGTTTGTTGGTCAGTAGAGTCGCTTTCGTTATATTCTTCTAAATTAAAATTGTCAGTAGAGTCCATTTTCTATCTTTTAGATTGCAATTGAAGTTTGCTCGTCAGTAGAGTCCCTTTTTTATGTCCTAGATCAACATTAAATTTGCTAGTTAGTAGACTTTCTTTTTTCAAATCAAAAACTCTGCTCGTCAGTAGAGTTCTTTTTGTCTCAATCTTTTAAATCCAGAAGTTTGCTCGTCAGTAGAGTCCCTTTTTTGTAATCTAAATCAAAATTAAATTTTGGCAGAGCCTCATTTTTAACTTCTATATTACAATTAAGTTTAGTCGTCAGTAGAGTCAATTTTTCAATGTTTTAAATTAAAAGATTTGCTCGTCGGTAGAGTTCCTTTCTTTAATCTTTCAAATCGTCATCTTTAAATTTTTAATTGCTTTATGGATCAAAATTGAGTTTGCTCGTCAGTAGAGTCCTTCTGTCAATCTTTTGAAGCAAAATTAAGTTCACCACTGGTACCTATCAACAATTTTAATTTTTCCCAGGAATCTTCCACGGTCAATAGCCCTAGGAATACCCCTGGTCACGTTGTGCTATTTGTTCGTGAACGTCTCTTATTTGGCGGCGATGTCCGCCAACGAGCTCATCGCCTCGGAGGCGGTGGCGGTTACTTTTGGAGAACGTCTTCTCGGGTGGTGGTCTTGGCTTATGCCCCTGGCGGTGGCGGTCAGCACTTTTGGGAGCGCCAATGGGACTCTTTTCGCTGCAGGAAGGTAAGGAGGAGGATGATATATGTGCCCAAAATTATGAAAGTGGTCTAAGTCATATATTCCTTGTTTCAAGATATTTAATGAATTGCATTTGAGTAAATTAAAAAATATTTTTACATTATGCGACATTTTAATTTTTAATTTTATTAGTCTTAATTAATTAATGGAAGTTTATTATGAATATGAAATTTTGTGTAAATTTCATACGATAATATTGTTTTTAAAGTTTGAATTGACTATTTAAAGGCTAAATAGCCTTGAGGCAAGTTACATGAACTTCCCGATATGTGTAAATAATCGGCTTAATCAATAAAAAATAAATTAAGTTATGAGTGATTAAAAGTATTCCAAGTGGATTTATTACACATCATTGAAAACGAACGAACACGTTGACTCGGAGTATTTTCTAAAAGCAAATTTTCACAAAACAATAATTTTTATAATTGAACCAGCTTTCGTAGGACATTAATGGTTTAGTATGTTCATTAAGACCAAGTACACTATTGTTATACCAAGTAAATCATCTAATTTTAATTTTAATAAACGACAACAAAACTACTCATTTTCTCAAACTTTAATGATTTTTCAAAATTAAACTACTTGTCGTAAGGCTGTAATATTTCAGTAAGTTCTATAAGACCATGATATACATAGTCAAATAAAGTTTCATAAAAATCGACTTAAATTTTTTTTCAACAGTTAATTACAAGAAAACGGCTCGGTAGATTTTCACCTAAAACTAATCAGTTTTAGTCCCAACTAATATCTTTCAAACAGTTTTTGATTTTCTAAAATCCATTCGGTATAACGAGCTTAAATGTGGACGAAAAGTTTAACACTCTTTTGCAAATTACAAAGAAACGGCTGGGCAGATCGTCTCACAAAACTGACAAACTGTAGTGCTATTGAGATACATCGAATGGCTTTTAAATTTCTGAAATCGGTTCAGGCGTTTTTGACCAAACGTCGATGAAGGGTCTAATTTTGACAAATGCCAAAAAAACGATACCAATTTTTGCAAACTTTGACGAATTTTTGAAGCTAAACGAGTTTTCGTGGGGCGGTAATATTTTAGTATGATCTAGAAGACCATGATATCTACCGTAAAAAAAAATCATAAAAATCGTCGAATTTTTTTTTTAAACTTAATCAGCACCATTCCTAACCAATATCTTTCAAACGGTTTTTGAATTTTCAGAATCGATTCAGAATTGCGGGCTAAAACGTGGACGACAAATTTTTCACTTTTCTGCTATTTATAAAGAAACGGCTCGGCCGATCAGCGCACAAAACTCAGAAACGCTAGTCCTCATCGAAATACATCGAATGGCTTTTAAATTTTTTAAATCAGTCCAGCCGTTTTTGAGAAAACATCGATTTACGGCTAAAAATCTGTTCACATACACGCACACACACACATACACACACACATACTTTTTAAAAATTTGATCTCATTCGATTCAGAATGGCTTGAAACGTCGAGAAAACATAAAATTAGCAAATCGAATTTTTTGATGAAAACATAAACTTCTCCTTCGGGAAGTTAATTAACTGAATGTCCTATAAATGACTTAAAGCAATAAAGAACTTAGAATTTTATTTGAAACAATAATTTTATTGAAATAATTCGGGAGCACTTAATAATTATTTTTAAACGATAATCCATTTTTATCATTATTTCGAGTATTTAAGATTCTTAAAATATTCCCGAAAAACTGGAGGGATGTACGGTAGTAAACTCATAATATCTTTGTTTTTCTTCCGATACTGGTCTAATGCCGGTGTATAATGGAAGTAATTTAATATTTCCGTATATTCTTGGTCTTCCTCTTTTAGGTGAAAGATCCAAAACGTGAAATGTAGAATCATCTAAAGAAGTTTTATAAAACATAAAAAATTTTATAAGGTTGATTTTTCAAGAATCTCATCCATTGAATTTGTAGCCAAGAGACAGATTCGCCCGCGGTATTTTTTACTATTCTTGTTATTGTATTTTCTAATGATTTCGTTGAAATAAAATCCGGCTGCGACATTCGCTTTATCGAAAATGTATTGCTTCTTCTGCACTTTTCTATCAATTCACAATAATGCTCAGGGTTGTATTAATAATTTGCTTTTTTTATTTTCATTTCTATCAACCCAAAATCACGATCATTCGGTAGAAAGAAATGACCTGATACCAAAAATTTTTGACTTAGACTACTTTCATAATTAACACTAAATGAATTCTATATAATGTTGAAATTACAACCACTATCTAATGGTTCATTTTTGACAATTTCGTAAAAATTACATTGAATACATTTAGTTTAAACTAATGTGGTATGAAATAACTGATAAACTTATTTTTTTTTTAAATTTTGACTTGGACCACTTTCATAATTATGGGCACATATGTAAATTAAAATTAGATTTTGAATATAATTAATAAGGATTATTTTACAGGCTCTGTTTTGCTGCAAGTCGAGAAGGACATTTGCTCGATATTCTTTCATATGTGCATGTTAAGCGTTTGACGCCTGCACCTGGGCTAATATTTCATGTAAGTTAATAAAATTGCACATGTTAAATATATGAAAAGTTCTTATAATTAACTTCCCGAAGAAGAAGTTTGTTTTCATAAAAAAATCCGAATTGCTAATTTTATGTTTTCTCGACGTTTGAAGCCATTCTGAATCGAATGAGACCAACATTCGGAAAAAGTATGTGCGTGTGTGAGCAGATTTTTTGCCGTAAATCGGCGTTTTCTTCAAAACGGCTGGACCGATTACAAAAATTTAAAAGCCATTCGATGTATCTCGATGAGGACTATCGTTTGTCAGACGATCTGCCCAGCCGTTTCTTTGTAATTTGAAAAAAAGTGTTAAACTTTTGGCTCACATTTTATCTCAAACTACCGAACCGATTTTAAAAAATCAAAAACTGTTCGAAAAATATTAGTTGGGAATGATACTGATTAGTTTTAGGTGAAAATCTACCAAGCCATTTTCTTGTAATTAACAGTTGAATAACAAATTAAGCAGATTTTCACGGAACTTTTTTTGGCGTTATATATCATGATCTTATAGAACTTACTAATATATTATTATATACGACAAGAAGTTTAATTTTAAAAATTCATCAAAATTTGAGAAAATGAGTAGTTTTTTTGACGTTTGTTCAAATTAAAATAAGATGATTTACTTGGTATAACGATAGAGTACTTGGTCTGAATGAACATACTAAAGCATTAAAGTTCTACGGAAACTGGTTCAATTATAAAAATTGTTGATTTTTGAAAATTTGCTATTAGAAAATACTCTGAGTTAACGTGTTCGTTCATTTTCAATTATGTGTAATGAATCCATTCGGAATACTTTTAAATCACTCGTAAATTAATTTCTTTTTTATTGATTAAGTCGATTATTTACACATATCGGGAAGTTCATGTAACTTGCCTCAAGGCAAAATACCAATACCAACTAGTTTTATATTTTTTAGTCTCTGATTGCTGCCGCGATGGTGCTCTATGGCACCATAGATTCGCTGATTGATTTCTTCAGTTTCACAGCTTGGATTTTCTATGGAGGTGCTATGCTTGCTTTGATAGTCATGAGGTTCACAAAGCCCAATTTTCCGAGGCCTTATAAGGTAAATGATAACAACAAACTCGTATGTCTATATATATATATATATATATATATATATATATATATATTAATTTTTTAGGTGCCAATTTGGATCCCGTGGCTAGTGCTTCTTGTTTCGATGTACCTGGTGGTTGGGCCGATCATAGATAATCCTTCGATCGAATATCTGTATGCAGCTCTCTTCATTTTGGCCGGATTGTTACTCTATGTGCCTATGGTCAAGATGAATATACAGCCAGCATGCATGGGTAAATAATTATATAATTATATATAGTTGTATACTAGCTGACCCGGCAAACGTTGTTTTGCTAAGTAATGTATATTCTAAACAAATTCTGGAGAAACAAAAATATTAATACTTTATGTGTATAAGGATGTGTTGTTTGAATGCTATATACAATGAGGTATTATAAAAACAATAAAACCCATTAGTTTGCCCATATTTTGTCTGGAAGTTTTATACACTTTCTATAGAAAACATGATATAATTCATGCAATCGAAGTCTTTTTTGGTCTTTAAACTTATTCATTACGTTTCAGTTATTTCAGATTCTTTTTGGATTCTGCATTTTGTGTATAATTGTAAATAATACTACTGAGCTTATACAAAAAATTCAAATTTCTGCGAGGAGAGATAGAAAATTTATATATAACTTTATAGAGTAGTTCTTCGATAAATTCTGGGAAATTATAACTGGGAAAATGTTATTCCCATGTCCCTTTGATCAATACAAAATTTAGGTTCTGAATTTAAATAACATAAATAAAAAATAATATAACCTAGAAAACGTTTTATAAATACCAATGAGTATATAATTATACAAATGAGATCTTTCAGAGCGCCGTGTTTGAGAAAAATATGCCAAAAAGTGCATCTTCATATTGACATTTCAAAAAAGTTGATATTTTGAGTTACTAATAACACTTGCGTCCCGTTTAATAACGTTTTTGTGCATAAATAAAAGTACAAACAAAACTACTTTTTACAATTCAATCATAATTAAATAATATTCACGTAAAACATTCTATTAAACATAATTGAACGTCATCTGTCAAAAACGTTTGACATTTGACGTATTAGCTACCGTCCATTGTTTTATTCAATTTACACTTCTACAAAAATGTTCAAATTAAAAATGTAAATTTTCTATGCGATTTTGAAATAATATCTCACCTTTCCGACATCCTGCTGATTAGCACGAATTTTTCAAGACTAAGACTGGCCAAATCGGTTTAGCCGTTTTCGAGTTTTAGCAGATCATTTGATCGAGAGCTCCATTTTTATATGTAGTTGTATACTAGCTGGCCCCGCTAACATAGTTTAGCCATAAAACTAACTAACTAGACCTAATTCAATATTATGATTACGAAATAGGGGTTTTTGGTAAGAAGGTAAGGTTTTCTAACCTGAAAAAATCAGGTAAGAAATAAATACACGTGATGTCTTACTATACCCCTTTTTTGCCCACGTGATATATTGCCAAAAACCGCCCCCCCTGCCCCTAAAACCTCACGTGATTAGTGGACGCCCCTGTACGAGAATTTTATTAAAGTTTGTAATAACGACTTCTTAGGACATGCACCGGTATGTCCTAAGCACTTCTCTAACACTCGTTAAACTTCGAAAAAATTACACTTATACCTAGTTTTGATCACATCATTACATTTGTTTTATAAATATTTTATTAACGCTCACCATGCGCATCCAAGCCTAACTAAAAATGTATAGGAAAGCGTTGTGTTAGGTTCGGACTACATGGCAAGCACTCGCAATATTTTAAGAATTCAATTGATAATTTTTAATAAATCGATTAATTCTCATTTTTTTTGCAGATAAGGTCACATTATTTTTCCAAATGCTTCTGGATGTCGTGCCCACCACAGCAATTTACGACTGAGGTGACAAAATACAAATATATATTATATATAAAAATATTTAAAATAATCTAGGTTTATTTTAAGAATTTTTTTGACAGCAGATAATGGTAAAAATCAAGTTTAAAACTTGGCTAAAAAAATAATAATTTCTTTTTTAATATTAACTTTTTAAGGTAAAAGAAGTCCTTTAGAGGGGACTATAAATAAATATAATATAATACTATATTATATATATATATATAGTTAATTTAGATATAGAAAATTAATTATAGAAAAATATTTGAGGGGTGTTTTTTTAATAATTGGTAAACTGCATGATATATATATATATATATATATATATATATATATATATATATTTGTAATGACCCAATTACTAAATAAATTCCTTAATACATTTGATGAGAATACGAAGACAGAAATTAGACTGGTTAGTTTGAGTAATGCTTTTATGTATGTTCACATACATTTATATATACATATATATATATATATATATATATATATATATATTTATATATACATACATACATATATATATATATATATATATATATATATATATATTAGGGTGGTCTTTAATATGGAAATTTTCGAATTTCTTTGCTCCCAAGGGCTCAAATGCTTCCAAATTAATAAAAAAAACAACTCTCTAAAAATTTTAGCTCTTAATATCATCATTTAGATAGTCCGCAATTCAATTAAAAGTTTTGTATATTTATTTTAACATTTATCATTAAGTAAATTCTAGCGCCATCTGTGAACGCAGACTTGTAATTTTGATGCCAATTCATTACTGATAATTTGTATGCCAAAATCACCAATTCAATAAATATTTTGATGTAAAATTAATCTTGAATAAATATTTTGTTAAACAGTCTACATGGATTTAATTAGAGGTTAAGTGTTTTATAAATATTTTCAAGTAAAATGCTACCACAGATGGCGCAAGAATATATGGTAATAATGAATATACGAAACTTTTAATTGAATTGCGCACTGTCTAAATGTTAATTTTAAGAGCTAAAACTTTCAGAGAATTGTTTTTTATCAATTTGGAAGCATTTGAGCCCTTGGGAGCAATGTCCATATTAAGGACCACCCTAATATATAAATATAAATGGATGTACTTGCATAAGGTTTGTATTTATATAATAAATTAAAAAATGATTCTTTAGGAGACAGTAGTACTTACTTTACTAGTAAAAATAATATTTTAACATTTTGTGCAACAAGTATAGATCAATTTCGGATTTTGGTTTTCTCGATAAAGGGTTAAAAATAATACTCTTTTGGGGTTGCAGTGGGGTGAATATAATATATATAATTTAATTTTAATGAAAGAAAATTACCTTTTCGAAATTGTCATCAGTCTACTTTATATCACGTCTACTGACGAGCAAACTGAAATAAAAGACAAGTTTGTGGAAAAAGGAACTCTACTGACGAGCAAAATCAAATTACGAAAGAGTTAATAGAAAAAGGACTCTACTGACGAGCAAACTCATATTACAAAAAAGTAAATAGAAAGGTAACTCTATTGACCAGTAAACTGAAATAAAAGACAGTAAACAGAAAAAGGACTCTACTGACGAACAAAATGCAATTAAAGACAGTAAAAAGAAAAGGGACTCTACTGACGAGCAAAATGAAATAAAAACCAGTAAATAGAAAAGGGACTCTACTGACGAGCAAAATGAAATAAAAACCAGTAAATAGAAAAGGGACTCTACTGACGAGCAAACTCAAATCACAAAAAAGTAAATAGAAAAGGGACTCTACTGACGAGCAAAATCAAATTACGAAAGAGTTAATAGAAAAAGGACTCTACTGACGAGCAAACTCATATTACAAAAAAGTAAATAGAAAGGTAACTCTATTGACCAGTAAACTGAAATAAAAGACAGTAAACAGAAAAAGGACTCTACTGACGAACAAAATGCAATTAAAGACAGTAAAAAGAAAAGGGACTCTACTGACGAGCAAAATGAAATAAAAACCAGTAAATAGAAAAGGGACTCTACTGACGAGTAAAATGAAATAAAAACCAGTAAATAGAAAAGGGACTCTACTGACGAGCAAACTCAAATCACAAAAAAGTAAATAGAAAAGGGACTCTACTGACGAGCAAACTGTAATCAAAGACAGTGTGCAAACAAAAATTGCCTCTCTAGAAAGTCAAACTACTGGAACTGCCTTATCAAAAATATAAAAATTTTGTTACTCCATTTATACAAACAAAATATTGTTTGAATCATTCAAATCGATTGATCCATGGTCTCAAAATCGTCGAGAAAATTTTGTAACCGCACATCCATTTTTTCTAAGGTATGCCAAAATGTTCAGAAACGTCTGAAACGTAAAAATACGCAAAAGTTTAATAATTAATTAAAAATAAATAAAGAAGGGACTCTACTGACGTGCAAACTCATATTACGAAAAAGTAAATAAAAAAAGGGATTTTACTGTAAGCAAACTGAAATAGAAGACAGTGTGCAAACAGAAATTGACTCTCTAGAAAGTAAAACTGCTGGAACTGCCTTCGCAAAAATGTAATATTTTTTTTTACTGCTAAAATATCGTTTGAATCATTCAAATCGGTTGATTTATGCCCTCAAAATTTTCTATCTGCACATCAATTTTTTTTCTAAGGTATGCCAAAATGTTCAGAGACGTCTGAAACTGATAAAAATTTTAACAATTATTTAATTAGGTAATTTTTTTATCATATTAAAAAAAATTTAAGAAATTATTTTCCTTACCACCGTCTACTGTCTCCTATCGATTGTTGGATAAGCTGGAAATTATTGTGATTTTTTTAAAAGATAATTTGCCAAATACTTTTTACGTAAAGTTAAACAAAAAACCTAAAAAAAATTTTTAATGTATATGGCTCGTATATTATATATTGTTTATAAGAATTCACATATCTTTCTATGTTGATTCTGTTCGTTGAAGTCGATTTAAATAAATAAATTGGCCTAATGGACACATTACACCACATCATCACGATTGCAAGCAATAATTAGATAAATAGATAATTAGATAAATGATTTATGTTTTGGATGAGAAAAATGCCTGAAGGGAAAATAATAATAACTAGTGGTGTATGGCATCGTGCCTTGAGGCAAATTGCTAGAACTTCCCGTTTTCAAATATATTACTACAAATGCGGTAACTTTCATTATTTTTGCTATCTTGTTATATCTGAGCAAATCAAATGTAAATCATAAATCAATTATTACAATAACAATTGTCGTTTTATTTCGAATTCAATTTAAAAAAAAAATAGTTGCCTAATTTACACAAAATTGAAAAAGTGCTCCCGCCTAGTCACAGTCTAAACGCATTTGTAAATAATTCTGTGCGACATTTTCACTTATACTGCGCTTAGCTTGGCGGCATTTTCACATTTTTCAATAGTTTTCACAAAATTGGAAAAGTGTTGAAGTACACAAGCAGTCTAACCGTACTTGGGTAAACATTTGTACCAGAGTGGCGCTTAGACTGTGCTTGGCCTGGGTGATTTTTTGAATTTTTTATCCAAAATTACAAAAATATTTTTTGAAAAAAAAATTAGAAACTAATAGAAGTTCTTTGAATCATTTAAATCGGACGCTTAGTTCTCTCAAAAACTGCCATTTTTTCAACATTTAGCTCCGTATCTCCGGAACCGCTGGGCCTACCTTTGCCAAAACTAATTACCACTCTCCCCCTTCATTACGAACTGATTTTTGGATCATACAAATCGGATGATTCGTTCTCTCAAAAACTCGATTTGTATTTTCTGCACTCTTTGCTCTGTATCTTCATAACGGTTGGACTTGCCTTTGGCAAAAACTAATCAGCACATCTCCCTATCAATAGGAAACGAATGTTTTCTAAACCATTCAAATCGGTTGATCCGTGCGCCCGAAAACGTGAACGAAAAAATGCGGACATACAAAACACACACACACACATCTATTTGGTTTCTGAGGTATGCCAGTAAAATGTTCAGAAACCTTCAAAACGTCGAGAAATGCAAAAATTTTCGTTTCGATTTTCGGCCCATGACTATAACTACTCTACGGGAAGTTAATAAATAAATTTATTTCCCCGGGCATTTTTTTTCCTTTCAGTTTGATTTCGGCATAACTTGTATACTATGAAGCTATCATTCCATACAAGAATGGTTAGAGTCAAACTTGTGCATAATTTTTTATTATTATTAAGTTAGATTAAGGGGACAATTCTGTTTCGTAAAATAGCGTTATCTTATGCTTGTTTCTTGTCAGTGTATATGTGAAAATGTCTATCTATTTGCTGTACGATCAGGCGTATTTTACATATAAACAAGCAAGGAAGAATGTTATGATGACAGAATCTTTGATGCATGCTTCCTTGCATGTTTGTATGTATTATATTTAATATTTTATTATATGTTGCCTGATCGCACAGCAAACTGGTGGTGTATGGCATCGTGCCTTAAGGCAAATTGCTGGAACTTCCCGTACCGTAATGAAATATTCGAGAAATTTTAAACGTTCTCAAATATATTATTACAAATACTGTAACTTTCATTATTTTTGCTATCTTGTTATATCTAAGCAAATCAAATGTCATTTATTATCATAAACCAATTTATCTCCAGAACATTAACAATCGTCATTACATTTCGAATTCAATTTAAAAAAAATAGTTGCCTAATTTGCACAAAATTGAAAAAATGCTCCCGTATAGTCACAGTCTAAACGCATTTGCAAATAACTCTGTGCGACATTTTCACTTATACTGCGCTTGGCTTGGCGGCATTTTCACATTTTTCAATAGTTTTTTTCACAAAATTAGAATAGTTCTCCAGCGCATAAACAGACTAAACGCACTTGGGTAAACATTTGTACCAGAGTGACGCTTAGACTGTGCTTAGCCTGGGTAATTTTTGAATTTTTAATCAAAAATTACAAAAATGTTTTATGAAAAATAGAAAAAAGATGTAATAATTTTTTTATCCTCAAAAGCAATTGTTTTGTCAATACAAGCAGAAAGTTTTTTAGATCATTCAAATGGGACGCTTAGTTCACACAAAAACTGCAATTTTTTGCACATTTAGCTCTGTATCTCCGAACTGGCTAGACCTGTCTTTGCCAAAAACTAGTCATCTCTTCTCCCAATCATTACGAATTGAATGTTTTTTAGATCAT